ACCGCTTTACGTCCGATGGTCGCGGGTTCGATTCCTCGCACGGAACAAACATTTGTATTCATGAGTATGACTGCTTGTATCGGTCTGGGTGTTTTCTATGTATAATATGTATGTATTTACGAAAAAAAATTATCAATTATCTAGTAATCATAACACAGGCTTTAGCTAGCTTAACTTGGGCCTAGATGGCGCTGTGTAAAAAGTCCTGAGAGATTACTTTTTTTTAAATTAAAATACTAATCATAGGACAAAACTTCATCATCATTATCATCAGACCACTACAGTCCACTGCTGGACATAGACCTTTCCCAAATTTTCTCCATTTAAGGGCACATTCCTCCCATGACAAGTCCACGGTTCATAACTTGTCAACAATAAGAATAGTAATCGAATAAAGTTCAGATAGTAAAATCAGTTGTCACACGTTATTACGTAGGCCCGCGGAGGGCGAGTTCCCGCCACAATTTATTTTTTTTCTCCATCCGTCGACGGTAGTGACAACAGATGGGCTCTGCGGAATTGGTTACATTGTATAAGACAGCGAGTACGTAATACGTACATATAACAAAGATGTAAATATTAGCTGTGTTTCATCCGCATGAAATTTATAACCTACTAGTTATACCCGCGGCTTCGCTCACTTGATATTTTTAGCCTAAGTGTTATTCTGATGTATAAGATAAGCTACTGTAAAGTATTATAAAAATCCGTTCAGTAGTTTTTGTGTGAAAGAATAAAAAGCATCCATCTGTAGTCACAATCTTTCGCATTTATAATATGAATAAAATTCGTTATTTCTTCTGAACAGTTTATTATGGAAAATTAAACACAAATAAGTTTCTTTTTACTTATGTATTTTATAAACACGTTTTATCAATGACGATTGATAATTAACGGCCTCGGTGGTCTAGGAGTTATAGCATACCGTCTTACTTCCGATGGTCGCGGGTTCGATTCCTCGCACGGCACAAACATTTGCATTCATGAATATGAATGTTTGTCTTTGATTTTGGGTTTTTCTATGTATATTATGTATATATATATACAAAAAAAAATCTATGATATGATAGCAATTACTTTGAAAAATATATTTCCCCGCTCATGTAACCGCTAAATCTTGTCACAATGTTGCTTCCTCCCATTTTTGAAGGCTGTCAGAGTATATAGAAACATGTATAAAACGCACGCCCATTCTCTCATGATGGAGGTAAGGATTTTGTCTAACTCGTTTTATTCTCGACCCAAACCGTATCGTTCGGTAGTATCGACTGAGAATCGAATGGCGTGACGTTTTTGTGTTATAAAAGTAATATTAGTTTTCTATGAAAAAATATAATGTAAATAACATTGTTATTCAATTTTTTGTTGCATTCAGTTTATGCTAGCTGTTGCCAACGAGATCGTTTGTTTTTTTTAAAGATGACATATAGTTTATAAGCATTTTCCTTATACTATCTATTTGCAACTTCAATGTGATTACTTGTAAGCTCTATAATTATACCCATACACACATTCTTTCTTATATACATACACACACACAAGTGATCTCTAATTCAGATAGAATTATTGTATCCATCAATATCATTACATAGTATAAAACAAAGTCGCTGTCATTGTCTGTCCCTATGTATGCTTAAATCCTTAAAACTACGCAACGGATTTTGAAGCGGTTTTTTAAATAGATAGAGTGATTCAAGAGGAAGGATTATATATATAATACAGGTACACCCGTGCGAAGCCGGGGTGGGTAGCTAGTATTTTATAAAGTAAATATCCTTTTCCTTTTTTATTAATAAATTTATATTATTTGATTTGTACTTCTAAATTTACCTCTGATCTTTCTGTTTGCCACATTCAGTTTTTTACCTTTGCTGAAAGTCACTGAAAACTTCTTATTGGTTTTCTCTAGAAATGTACTGTTGATTTATTGTATTGAATTGTAAGCTGTTGGTATTGTAATAAATAAATTGTTTAAAAAGTTAACGAACTGACACACAAATATTTGTTTTTTTTTATTATATCAATCCAAAAATCTACCATTATCAGGACCATTATCATCCATAAAAGAATACAACTTACTATTAGAATCATTTCTATTAGATCCTTCCACGGTGCAAACATTTGTATTCATGAATATGATCTTTTGTATTGGTCTGGGTGTTTTCTATATATGTATATATAATAATAAACTGTATTCATAAATGTACGGTACAATTATATTATATAGTTAGCCCTGGCTTATTGATCATTATATAATGTATGTATTTATAAATAAAAAAAAACTCAGCTAATATTCTACACAGTACGTTAATATCGCCTTGTACACGAAACTTCAAGAATTCCCCTAAAGTTGGGAATATGCCGGCACAATTTACATGAATTAACATAATACGAGTATGTTGATTGATGAAATTCTTCACTAACTTTAGACGTGTTATGGATTTTACTGGAATTATAGTTGCTGATGCGAGAGCGTTTTGTATTATTTAGCTATTAACTGTTATCGGCGACTTCGAGTGGAATTTAACTTTTACTTATTAATAAATATATAAAATAAAGTTCTTAAATAATAATAGCCTAAGTTACTCATTATAAGATTAGCTATTTGCTATAAAATAATTAAATTATAACCTTACTAATATATTATATTATCTGTGCTAATATTATAAATGCGAAAGTAACTCTGTCTGTCTGGGGGGAAATGGGATTGTTAGTAATGTGGACTAATGAACCCATTACTAGCAATGTACCATGTCAGGTTGACCTCCACGCGGTTCCCCCTGGAAACCATCGTGTTAAATTCCTGGTGAATTTGTCACGATGGGCTAACTGACCTGACCTCATGCTCATATTATCATCCTCCACTGGTGCCCCGCCAGCGTAAACCGTTAGCGCAGGCGGATGCACCATTCCATTATCACATACAAAAAAAAAAACTCTGTCTGTCTGTCTGTCTCGCTTTCACGCCGAAACCACTAAGCCGATTTAAATGAAATTTGGTACACAGATAGTCTAGACCCTGACAAAAGACATAGGGTACTTTTTAATGCAAAACAAGGGTTGCAAGGGATTGAAAGGTTATATAGAAGTATCGTCATTTTACGCGGGCGAAGTCGCGGGTGCATCTAGTATAAAATATATAATAAACTAAATTATAAATAATATAATAAACATATATAAAAGAAAGTTCTAAAATAAAAGTAGACTAAGTGCTTATCAGATTAGCTCTATTTGCGAGTGAAACTCACGTTTAAATCGGTCAAGCCATTTCACAGATTAGCAAAAACAAACAGTCAGTCAATTTTTTTAATGTAGATATATATATACATCGTATAAATTTAGCGGCCTCGGTGGTCCAGCGGTTTAGCACACCGCTTTACTTGCGTAGCGGGTTCGATTCCTCGCACGGTACAAACATTTGTATTCATGCGCATGATCTTAAACTTTATTCATAAATGTACGTTACACTTAAATATAGCTAGCCCTAGCTTTCGATATAGGTGAACCTGTGCCACGAAAGTTAGTTCCCTCCAACATTCTGTTAACATTTATATATATATATATATATATATATATATATATATTGTGTATGTATTTAAAAAAAATCTATGTATCCAAATTAGTTGTTTAGTACCCATAACAAGGTCTGCTTAGCTTGGGACTAGATGACGTTATATATAAATGTGAAAGTTTAATCAACAAATTAAACTCACTTTTGTATTCACACTATAACTTAGGAATATTGTAAATGTAAATATTTTGTATAAATTATTCAATTTATAACTTAGAATTAATCTCTACAAACTTGCTACGTTGCTTAAGTTATTAGATAGCAACGTAATACTTTAGGTACCTGAGCGCTTTAGTTAAGCGTCTCAAGCGCTGATAGTGGCTATATTATTCACTATTTTATACTCTGTATTATGTAGTATTAGAACAACTAGGGACCTTCATGTAGAGGTAATTATTTTGAGCTGAAAACATCTCTTAAAAGATCTTTTTAAGCCGATGTAATTTTGTAGCATTGTCTCTTTATTTGACGACCTCGGTAGTCTAGCGGTTAAGTGACCGCCATACTTTCGGTAGTCGCAGGTACGATTCTGATAAATAAGTTGTATCTATGAGTATGATTATTGTATTTTTATTGATTGGTCTGTGTTTCCTGTGTATCTAAATATATATAACTGAAAGGTGACTGACATAGTGATCTATCAACGCACAGCCCAAACCACTGGACGGATCGGGCTGAAATTTGGCATGCAGATAGATGTTATGACGTAGGCATCCGCTAAGAAAGGATTTTGATTAATTTTGCCCCCAAGGGGATAAAATAGGGGATGAAAGTTTGTATGAAACTTTGTCAATTTTAAACAGATCGGACTGAGACTTTGCATGCATAAAGTTACTATGACGTAGGCATCCTCTAAGTAAGGATTTTGATAAATTCCACCCCTCAGGGGATAAATTAACGTGAGCGAAGCCGCGGCCAAAAGCTAGTGTAGTAATTTATAAAGGAGTGTATATTATACATATAAGTATTAGTATCAGTTGTTTAGTACATATAACATAAGTCCTGCTTAGCTTGCCACTAAGATGGGGCGAATGAAATGTCCAGACTTATTATTTGTTGACTAGCTTTTGATTGTGGTTTCATCTGCGTTGACATTGTTCCTTCAAATTCTAAACGCTACGTACTTGCTCATTTTTACGATGATTATTTAGGCGTGATACCGTATAGGAAACAAACATTATTTCGCATTCTCAATATTAGTGATATGGATATATTTATGTACTGGTAAACACAACTTACCTTACTTACCTATCAAATCTGCATCACGTGACATTTCAGTCCCCATACTTATTGCATGCATATAGCAGGAAATAAAAGAACACAATTTGATATAATTTAAATATTTATTTCGTAATGTCACCGGAAACAACATAAGAGCTGGCGGCGGAGTCGCCCTGGACTCTCGAGCGACTCCCACGCGGCTGCATATACTATAACGCGTAAAAAAAACAATTGTCAACATCATCTATAATAGATATATCTTTATATTATTTACAAATCTCAGCTAAACGTATTTACACTCACTACGAACTGTAGTATGTATAACATACAGAAAGCATTGAAATATAATACAATTAGTGGAGTTATATAGTCTCTCAGAGTTCCCATTTTGGACTCAATTATATACATAATAAGGACATTTTCGTTAGAACTTTTTATTGCGCCCGCGCCGGTGCGTCCCGAAAAGGATACGAGCGAACGCCTGGCGGAAGTCGGGGCTGAATATTGTATATATAACTGGATTGAGCGTCGAATTAAAGTAGCCCAGCCATAGAAAGAAACTGGCCAAGTAGTCACTAATAACACAAGTTTGGCAAATTGGCATCACTAGGGCCATTATGAAAAATGGCAACCAACAAAACACGAACGCTCCCGTTATGATGGCGAGCGTCTTCGCTGCTTTCCTCTCTCTCTTCGCTTCTAGCGACTCCTTCTTTTCCCTGTGCGTGGGAATGGGAACGATAGATCGCTCCGGTTTCGACCCATTCGTGACGGTCGAGGAAGACTTTTCTGGGGAGACAGATGGTGGTACTTTCTCGTTTATAGTAAACGCTGTGGTACGAGGCTCATCGTCCAGTGTATCTACAGTGGAAGTGCTCTGTCCTTCTGTGAGCAATAGTGCAGCGGCTAAAGTTTCCGCGCGCGTTCGTTGATTGCACTTCTTCAGATTGAGGAACCGCTTCTTCACGAACCTCCTGTCCCTCGCCGATTGCACTGGTCGCCCTGAAGGTGGCGCTCCATCAGCAGACGTGGGGCGTGGTGGTGGCGGCTCCCTGCGCCTCCTAATACGTCGCCTTGCCGTTTGGAAGATCTTCCAGTACAATATTAGTATAACAGCGAGAGGGACGTAGAATGTAGAGCAAGTTGCAAAGATCTGGTACGCTAGGTCTTGGCTGACGAGGCACTTCTGCTGCTGTGTTATCCTGGCGAGGTAGTCTGGGTCCTTCCAGCCCAGTTGGGGAGCTAGAGAGACTACCAGCGCCGCTCCCCAGACCAACACAATCATCGTGAAGATCCTCTTCTCGTTGCGTAAATGGATATAATCAACGTTCGTGACAGCCCAATATCTGTAAACATAAAGAAAATTTCATTTATTAATAATTGTTTAATTTGTATCTCTACTTTGGTCGAAAATGAAAATTTGTCATTTTTTTTTACTACGATGGTGGCAAGTATTCGGCCCATCTGATGGTAAATGGGACCTTTATTCTGATTAACAAATACGCCTAAATGAAGTACAATGTTTATTGTAAATATATTTATATTTATAATATACTGGCTGGTCGTTCTCGTGAACGCGTGCTGCTTGTGAGGACTGGTCTGTTCGGGTTACGAATACTGATTAGACTATTTGCTTTCGCAATAGAATATGCTGGTGCTATGCTATCCACCCAAATTTGAATTTAAAATTGAATCTGTAATATTGTCAACATGTACAATATTTATTTGAAAAGAATACGAGTAGAGTTTCTTGTCAGTTCTTCTCATCTCGAAATCATTCCGAACTGATGGTAGATAGATTGATGATATCATAAGAGTCTGTAATTGATCTACATGAATAAAAATATTATAAAGTTCTTAATAAAAAAAATACAATATCATTACGTAGTATAAAATAAAGTCGCTGTCGCTGTCTGTATACATAAATCTTCAAAACAACGCAACGGATTTTAAAGCGGTCTTTTTAATAGATAGAGTGATTCAAGAGGAAGGATTATATATATAATACTTGTACACCCGTGCGAAGCTGGGGTGGGTAGCTAGTGAACTATAAACGTATGTGTCCAGTACGTCAGTAATAACAATTACAAATACTTTTAACTACACCATCGCTGTTTGACAATTCCATAAAAGGTTAAGTCTACGAAATGTAACCTCAAAGGTACATTTTATATATAATAAAGATAAATGTATATGTACCTGTCGGTAGCAATAGCGACAAGATGCAGAATAGAAGCAGAGCTGCAGAGTACATCGCTGGAAGTCCACATATCACATAGTTCCGGCCCCAAGATCCAACCTTGACTGACCTGTATCAAAATACAATAATAATAATCTCAGGACAATTCACACAGCGCCATTTAGATCCAAGTTACAATAGCTAAAGCTTGTATTATGGGTCTTAGATAACTGATACAAATACATATACTTACACTTTACAGATACTTTTTTTTGTAAATACATAGAAAACACCCAGACGATAAAAACAATCATATTCATGAATACAAAAGTATCGTGTGAGGAATCGAACCCGCGCCATTGGAAGTCAAGTGTTGGCTCTCCAACACTTGACTCTCTACTATGGATTTCTCAATTAGTTATTATGATGATTGTAATAAAACTAAGTAATTGTGGATAAATGAATATAATTTGCTTCCGTATATTGTGAAAAGATCAATTGCAACGACAAAAACAGTGAGCATTTAAAAGTATATGGCTATAAAAAGTATTAACAAGGAGGTTTAATTTCCAACATTAACTGATGTGTTAAACCGCTAGACCAATTAAGAACTCCTATATTGAAGTTGGTTAACAATCATAATTTTTGTGCTCTCAATTACTATACGGGCAATAAAATGATTCGACACAGACAGTAATCCCCGGTGGAGTAAGAACCTAATTCGTGTAATGCTATTAAAAATGAATTGCTACGGCTCTTGTACCGCGATGTATTTTTCATTTACATCATCATGATACCTTTGTACAGAGTCCGCGATACCAGCCAGTGACGGAGTTAGGGGGCCCTGAGTTTTTAATATAATTATACCATGTGCGCTGTAGCATGGTGCGGGTGACAGTTTCATTAGCATTTCGTTTCACTCTTAAAAGTTGCAGCGATTTACAAATTATGACTTAGTATTTCAGCTGTACCACATTTGTAATATATTAAATTATTAATAACTGTATTAACTTAAATATAGCAATTGTTAAATGTAAAATTAGTAACTGTCACCCGCACCATGCGCACACAGTATAAAAAATATAATTTTTTTAAACAGGATCAGTTATAACGGGAATAATAATTAAAATGAACCATTTCGCAACAAGAAACAAAGTGAAATCACATCAAACAATTTATAATTGATGTTTATAAGTGGATATAATGTCCAACATGAATAAATAATTTTTGGTTTGATTTGATTAATGTTTTTGATACAAGAATACAATAAAGTTTTAACTTACAGACAAACCATTTTATTGCATTAATGATTTTTTTATATGTAGGTAGGAGTGTTAATGATAAGAATTTTTGTGTTTTGTTATACTAATTATTTGATTGTTTATTGTCAAATTATGTTAGTCATTAATAATTTTGTATACCGATTTGGTTGACGATAGGGGAATAAATTATTATTTAATAAAAAACTGACTTTTGTTTTATGATTGCAGTATATTTAAATATTGTAATATTTTCAAATTTACTTCATAGGACAAGTTTCAAAAATACATATTCTAGCAACAGGTATTCATAAAAACTGTTATGGTTTGGTATATATATATATATATATATATATATGTATATATTTACGAGATATCCTGTATGTTTATAGACATATATTGATTTGCTTGTACTATGACATAGTAGCTTTACATATTGTTATCGTTCTAGGCTGAATCTCCATTCTGAATGTGATAGTAGAATAAAAAATGACTAGTCTAAATTGCGTATCTTTGTTTTTAATATTGTATATACATTTTGACACCATCACTTGTCTAAGACATTTTTTTGGCTCTATAACCGAATCTCACTACCTTAAGACAATGAGACTTTTCTACGCTATGTAAATACGTACCTCAGCAAACTAAAAATTTCAAGAACATTTAGGATATATTTTCCTAAATTATGTATGGAGCCCCTTACCTCCCCTGAGTTCGGCCCAGGCAATTTGTCGTCGCTTTTAAACATTCACGAAGGGTAACCAACTGATAAATTGAATAAAATGTATATGTATTCGTGGCGGGAGTTGAATTCTAATTAGAGGGTTCGTTAGTATTGGGAAAAGTGCAAAATTTGATTCACACACCTCGATTTTGTGTACTATTCAAAAATATATTAACATAAAAAAGGATTTTAATTAAAAAATATTTAAATGGAAGATACCATTTAAATATTTTTTAATTAAAATCCTTTTTTTATCTCTACTTTCTCTGTCCACCCAAAGGTAGTCTGGAAGATTGATTAATTGATTGCTTAGCAATAAGACCGTCTTTTGTATCAGATAAATAGTATATATACAATATACTATTTAAATTTGTTGTTTCTATATTTAGTGCATTAAAAAGTAGAAATAAGAATAATGGCACTGTTCCTTTCCAGCTTGGCAAACTCTGCAGATTTTTGTTAAGCAACTATCCCTTTTTTCCACTCTTTTGGAATTACAGCAAAGATGTATGTATGCAATTTATACCTCGTAAACAGCGCCAAGCGGCATGACGAGGCAGGCCACCATCAGATCGGCTACAGCAAGCGACGCCACCAGATAATTGGCGACGTTTTGCAGATTCCTCTCTATTATAATAGCTGCGATGACGAACACATTACCTGTGAAAAGAAAAAAAATATTATAGTAGACTATGGAGAATAAGCGGTAGAATAAACAAGTTTAGTTTATTTGAATAAAGAATTTTCTATTCTTTTGAATGAATAATATTCTAGATTTAAAACTTATGTAGTATTTAAAGTATTTAAAAAATTTAAAACGTAAAGTATTTAAAACTTATGTAAACTTAGTAGCATAATTTAAATTTAATGAAAATAAAAGTTTCATTCAAGTATATTCAGTCAAAAAAATGTTTCTTCCAAATCGGTTTAATTTAAGTGATGAAGTAACAAACGTTAAAAAAACAGCCGATTTTGAGAACCTCCTCATTGGAGTAATGAAGTAACAAACATTAAAAAGACAGTCAATTTGAGAACCTCCTACTAGAGTAATAAAGTAACAAACATTAAAAAAGAACAGTCGATTTGAGAACCTCCTCCTTTTTTAGATTTTAAATAAGAGACTAGCGAGCGCATGGGTAATTATTACAGGTATTTTTAATTTTATTTTTACTGAGCGGAATTCAAACCTGCGATAATCAGAGGCTGTGAGCATAACCGCTAGATCACGGAGGCCATTGAGATATATTACATAGGCGTTAAATATTAATGTTTGGTATCAAATTTCTAAGTGCTGCCAACATAACACGTGTACCCAAGTAATCTTAGTTACTTGAGCTGTGAGCAAATGTATATAACTTTAAGTTAACTAGCTTCGGTAAACAAACTTGTTTTCTAACTTCACTGCCACCTACCATTTAGTTGCCGGCAGTAGATGGGTTTATAGCGAAGTTGCGTAATTGGATTATATTGATTATAGAATGGCTCATTGCTCTGATTTGCGAGATTATACTTTGTTTTCTCGGAAATAATAATAAATCTGGACAATCCATCAATATATGGATTGTTAAGCAGAGCTTGTGTTAAGGGTATTAGACAACTGACAGAAGTGTGAAGATCAGCATTGCTTTTTCTGTTTTTAATTATTCTGTGCAAATTAGATATATTAGACATCGACAGAAGTGATTAGCATTACTTTTTCTGTTTTTAATCAGTCTGTGCCGGAGAGATTGTGAGGAAGCCGGCGTCTGTGTTGTAATAAGTAATATTATGAAATTTCAATAAATTAGAAATACCGAAATATTCTTTTGTTTTCACTCGGCCCTAAAGAACCCTATAAAATACATATTTGTTTGTAAATACACAGATAATAAACATGGAAAACACTTTAACCGATACAAACAACTGTATTCATTAATGCAAATGTTTGTGTCATGCAAAATGTTTGTAAAATGTCCAGACAAGTGGTGGCGCAATGCTGGCTTTTTCATCCATAATGATAAAATCCAGGTTAGTTCTGATTTAGTTATGATTCATATATTTGATTAATGAAGTAATTATACATTTTATTTACTGGAGAGATTAATGACGATTGATAATTGACGGCCTCGGTGTAGCGGTTTAGTACACCGCTTTGATTACGATGATCGCGGGTTCGATGCATGAGTACGATTGTTTGTATCGGTCTGGGTATTTTCAATGTATATTATGTATGTATTTACAAAAAATATATATATCTACGTATTGTCTAGTATCCATAACACAAGCTCTGCTTACCGTGAGATTAGATGGCACTGTGCTAATTGTCTAGGGTTATTTATCTTTTTTGTATTAATTTTAATCAATTCGTGCTTTATGGTAGTTTCTATTCATATAAAATCTTGAAAATATAAAGTGAATAAGATATGTTTAATAACTAACTACAAGTTTCTTATTCATTTTTCTTGGCTGAATCTACTTTCCGAATGAGCGAGTTGAATGAATTATTTGAATGAAAACTATTTCTATTTATATTTACGAGTAGAGAATTATAATTAGGTTATTAAGTGGAATTTTAATTTAGTTCTTATGTACGTCACAAAATACCTAATTTACATTGAAAGTTGCCAAACCTACTTGTTTTTTAATTAAACACTACTATGTTTGTACAAAATTACTTACTATGAAGTTACATACACACAACTTACACTTATTATGAAGTGTAGTGAAACCTCTTTTATTCAACTTTTAAAATATTTTATCTTTAAATTGCAAAGAGTGACATTATTTTATCCTTAATTCACTCAAATATTTTATTTCTTATTTTATTAGAATATATAATATTAATAGTTTATATATAAAAATAGAAATAGAAATAATCTTTATTCAAATAAACTCATTACAAGCACTTTTGAATAGTCATATTTTGATTCTACCACTCATTCGGAATGCAGATTCATTACAAGAAGAATGAGCAAGAAACTTGTGTGTTGCTCTTTTTAATAGATGTTTTTTATATAAATAATTACTGTAATTATATCAAGTAAAAGGCATGCGATAATTAACATAGAAATCGCTACGCACTCATTATTAGTGTAATCAGATAATATTGTCAGTGATATGGCTTTAAAGTTTTTCTATAAAAACATTATTATCATTAACGAATTCTTAAATTTTATAGTAAGCTTTTTTGCAAAGGAAGTATTTTATTTGACATTTAAATCTTTTTTCTGGCAGATTTATAACAGACTCTGGTATTTTATTGTAAAACCTTACGCAATTGCATAAAACGAATTACTAACTTTAGCCAAACGACATTTAGGTAAAATCAGTTTGTTATTGTTACGTAAGCTTTTATTAGTGCAATCACTAACTCTTTTGAAACTGTCTATATTCTTCCTGACATACATGATATTTTCATAAATATATTGAGAAGCAACGGTGAGGATATTTGATTCCTTAAAGCACTCTCGTAAAGACTCCCTGGAACCCATATAATAAATAGAGCGAATGGCCCTCTTTTGTAAAATAAATATTGTATTTATATCAGCTGCTTTGCCCCATAACAAAATACCATACGACATAATGCTATGGAAATAGCTAAAGTACACAAGTTTAGCCGTAAAAAGATAACTTAAAAAGTGTCATTCATCTATAAATCCACTCATCAGCTATTCTTCATCTACGGCATCATCTATTCATCCGATTCATCATAATAAGAATACTTTATATGAAAGTACATATATTAATGCTTTGTTTTTATAGGAAGGTTACGCGAGAACGTAAAATGTGGCAGGTTAGATAGCTTCTTCCTAAGTTAGAATACTGAAGCAATTAATTGTAGCCTTAGTAGACTATCATAATGAAGTTAGGCCAGAACTTGTGTAGTTCTAATTTGGAAAACAAACAGATAAATGTAATTAATTAGACTTCGTGAAAGAAAACAAGATAATTGTAACGTCTGTAACAAAGAGATTTCGCAGCACAATGTTTTCATAATCATTTAATGGACCTAACTACATATTACTATGTACTTAATTCAGAACTTAATGTTTTTCTTATTTAATAATAATTTTAAGTATTAATGAATATGTTTAGATGCTTATTTATATTAATATTATAAATGAGAAAGTGGGTCCGTTTGTTTGTGTTTTCATTCTTAAACAGCTGAACTAATTATAATGACATTTGATGTGAATATAGTTTACATCACGAGTCTCTGTAGGACTGTCGACTGATCTAGAAAAAATCAGATTATATTCAGAGCAATTCTTTATTAAATTACTAGCTTCTACTCGCGTCTTTGCATGACCAGGGTTGCCAATATAAAAAATAGGATCTTCTACTGAAATATATGTAAAATAGTGGATTGTTTAAGCCATGTAGGTGTAAAAGAGTCAAAATCATTTTTATAATCTCTTTTTTATACCACAACTAGCTACTCACCCCAGCTTCGCACGGGTGTACATGAATTATACATATAAACCTTCCTCTTAAATCACTTTATCTATTAAAAAACCACATCAAATAATCGTAGTTTTAAAGATATAAGCATACATAGGGATGGACAGACAGCGCCAGCAACTTCGTTTTATACTATGTATTGATGATGGTGGCAGTCTATTTTCTCTTAAGAAAAATTCTACAAATTCCAGTAAAGGAAACGGAATCGCGGTTAAAACTCAGTTTGGATACAAGGTTAAAGTTAAACTATTGAAGAAGAGCGGTTTCATCCTAATACAGGTTTGTATATACCGAGTAGAATTAGATATAGAATTCCTTAGCTCACGCACTTTATGTAGTGTATTTTGTAATACACTACATAAAATAAACTATTCGATTCCTGGTACGGTATTTGTATTCATGAGTATGATTGTTTGTATCGACCTGGGTGTTATTTATGTATAATATGTATTTACGAAAAAAAATCTATATATTTGTATAAGTTATCTAGTATAACACAAGCTTTAGTTAGCTTAACTTGGGAGTACATGGCGCTGTGTGAATTGTCCTAAGATTATTATTTCTATACTGGTCTGGTGGCCCCGGTGGTATAGCGGTTTTATTTCTGACGGTCGCTGGTTCGATTCCGGTTGCTGGCCAGTATTTCTTAACTCGAACTGGGCGGTAAAGATAGTGATATAAAAAGTTTCTTTGGTAAAAATGTTCTATGTGAATCTTGAATTTGACTTTGATTTTAATGTCTAAATAATCAAAGCAATGAGTCCCTGACAATGGGAATCTTTATTTAATTTTAATGGCGGCAGATTTTCCAACACAAAGCATTCTTCGAAAAACTGTTTGTTACTTTCCCTTTGTCTAAAATGACGACGTAACTTAGTAACTTTCCTAAGAATACTTTTTGGCGTGTTCTTAAAGGATAAAATTTTTTAGTTGAACACGAACAATGGACAGAAAAGTTAGGAACTAGGTCGCGAACTTATCCCGCTGTGACCTAGAACTTACTTTAATACGATGGCCTCGCTAGTCTACCGGTTTCGCACACCGCTTTAATTTCGATGGTCGCGGGTTTGATTCTGCGCACGGTGCAAATATTTGTTTTTATCATGAGTATGATTATTTGTATCGATCTGGGTGTTTTATATTTATAATATCTATAGGTATATTTAGAAAAAAATATATAAGTCGTACTTAAGATTTAGTTTTTTGTAAATACATACATA